CACTAGGCTATCCAAAGCAATCATGTTGCTGCTTCCTCATTATCAGTGCATGAACCATTATACCTGTAAATAAATATAAATTTCCTTTTCACATTATCTTTTCATTTTTGATGTCTAGTGTTAATAATATGTATAAAATCTACAGTGTTTTGTGTTATATGAGACAATGCTGATGTAGGTACTGACAGATGATGCATTTTGTAAACAGATGACCTACACTTACTCTATTAATAAATACATAACTGTAAATGCATTTTCCTCTTCCTTATGGTTTCAATAATATTTCCTTTTCTCTAGCTTACTTTATTGTAAGAATACAGTACGTAATACATATAACATACAAAATATGTGTTACTCAATTCTCTATGTTGAAATTAAGGCTTCTGGCCCTGGCCTTAGCTCTGTTGGACAGAGGTTCTGGGTTCCGTTCCTGGTCAGGGCACATACAAGAATCAATCAATCAATGCATAAAAAAGTGGAACAACAAACTGATATTTCTCTCTCTCTCTCCGTTCATCTCTAAAATTAATAAGCATTTTTGTTAAATAAGGTTACCAGGAAACAGTAGACTATTAGTGGTCAAGTTTTAGAGAAGTCAAAAGTAATAAGTGGATTTTTTACTATGCAGAGGGTCAGCAGCCCTAACCCCTGTATTGTTCAAGGGTCAACTGTAATATAAAAGAAAAGGGCACATGCAAAAAAATGTCCACCATAATAGTCTTTGGAATACTGAAAAACTGGAAATAATCTACATGCCCAACGACAGGAGAGTAAATGTAGATCCATGAATTTTGGAACCATTAAAAAATTAGGAAACCACAAAGAAACATGGAAAATATTTATTTAATCCTTCATCTCGTTCTCAAAGAAGGTAATTTAACAAGTAGAATGATCATTGTATTTTTATCTCAATTACAACCAATTAAAAATTAAATATTTACATGGATAAAATCCAGAAGATAAAATTTTTTAAATGGAGTCATTTTAGGAATATTTGGGTTGGGAACGCCTTTTTCTTTCACTTTGCTCTTATAAGAAAGAAATGAAATAAGGAATTGTTTAGAATAAACTCCTTTGTTTACTTTATTGGTACTGAGAAGAGTTTAAATGATCCAAGTGGCCTCTAATGCATCATGATAACATAATCAAATGAAAGACACAAGGTTGAACCCTCGTTATACAATGAACTCTGCGGGACACGACTTTGGAGCTAGTGAGAAAATACAACATATACATGGTGTATCTCAGCGCTGCTCCGCCTCCAAAATCTTGAACATCCATCTCACACCAGTGCTTTTGCCCTCCCAGCTTTCGTGCCAACTGCTCCTTAAAATCATTAGGACTGCCAGTCTACTGGTCCCTACATTTGCTTTCGATCCATCAGCTGGGTTTCATTTTCTTTGTCATTCAAAAAGGCCTACCATTTTAATCACCCCCTCCCCAAGAACCGCAATATTTTGAACATTTATTTTTCCAATTCTCCTGCCCTGAAAACCCCCATCTGCTGGACACAGCCAATCATTTGCCATCTCACAACCTGGGTTGCAGGAATCCCCTAGACAAAACCACCCAGCATCCCTCTGTGTGTCTCTGGTCAGTTCCCTCGCTCCCTCGCTCCCTCCGTGCACTCTTCTCTCCATCTCACACTTGCCTTTCCGTCTCCTCCCCCATTGCCTTTTACTGCACAGGAAGAAATTCTTCAATGAAAACTTTCTTTCCTTGAGCCACACCCAAAGCCCAATGCATTCTGCATCCGTCCTTACTCCCTGCCCTCCCATTTCAGAGGCGAGGAGACCCTGCAGCTGTTCTCTGGACCCGCTGCCTCCTGCCTGTCTTTGTACCATTCATGCGTGCGTCACCCATCTTCAACCTTGCCTGAACGATTATCTGTGTCCCTCAGAATAAACACTCGTCTGCCATGTATAAGGAAGCTTTTCCTTTAGGATACATACACTTCTAAATAATTACCACTTGCCTTTCTCCTCCCCCTCCTACACATTTCAAAAAAGAGGTGTCCTACCTTGGCTGTCTCCACATCCCTCTTCCTCACCTGACTCCTCCCACCCCTCCACCCAAACTGTTTCCACAGAAGTCAAACCCAGTGCTCCTGCTATTTTATTTTATTTTATTTTATTTTATTTTCCAACATCTATCAGCTGCCTCTCATATGCACACTGACCAGGGATCAAACTGCAACCTGGGTATGTGCCCTGACCAGGAATTGAATTGGTGACCTTTTGGTGCATGGGATGACTCTCAAACACTGAGCCACACTGGCCAGGGTTCCTTTTCAGTTGAACCCTCAGCTGTGTTTCACCCTGTTGACCATCCCATCTTGAAAGTCTCTTTTGACTTTTGGGACCCTCTGGTGTTACCTTAGTCAGCAGGATGAAAAACTTCAGGCCACCCAGGGAGGGGAGAGCTGGACAGGCTCTCGGCTCAAGAGGGGAGCTTGCACTCTGAGGGGAGTGGGGGGCGTAGCAGCTGTTATACTTAAGATCTACTAGATGTGGTTTTGGGAACTGAACTCCTTCCTTGAGACTAGTTCTGTAGACTCCATGTCCAGCCGACTAATGAGTCAATGATATAGGGTGGGTGGAACTCAAAAAAGGTACAGTGGAGACTGGATCACACAATAGGAACTTGCGGACAATTTGGGCATTTTCCTCTCTTGGGCTACAATTAGAAGTGAGGGAAGTGGAATTCAGGTCCCCTAGGTCTCCCTCAGGAGTCTCTAACAGCTAAAGCTTCCAAAATGCATTCATTCCATTCAACAAGATAGAATTAAATTTTTATTATTAAAATAATATTACTTGTCCAGCTGGTGTGGCTCAGTGATTGAGCATTGACCCATGCACCAAATAGTAGCCAGTTCGATTCCCAGTCAGGACATATGCCCAGGTTGTGGGCCTGATCCCCAGTGGGGGCATGCAGGAAGTGGCCGATCGATGTTCTCTCTCATCAATGTTTCTATCTCTCTCTCCCTTTCACTTCCTCTCTCTCTCTCTAAAATTCAATAAAAAAGAAAAAATTAAAATAAATATATAAATAAAATAGTATTACTTTTCAGTTTTAGTACCATTCTTAAAGTACAGTTGGTAGTTGATGACATGCTATTCATTGGCTATTTTTATTCTTTCTTACTCCTAAGTAATATGTCCCCTATCAGACTGTAAATGCCTTGAGGTCAAGGGTTCTTTTTAGTCACATTCTCTTCTGTCTCTTCTACATTGCTTAGCATAGGGCTGAACATTTGGAAGATGCTTTTTTAAAAAATCCCACTGTTTAATTTAACAACTATTTTAACTTTTCAAATTTCAAGGGGTTTTTAATGGCTCCTGAATGTAATCTATTATTCTGGGTGCAGAAGTATAATACAGAAAATATTCAAGTTATTTGCATTTTATGAGCTGCAGACGAGACAGGAACACCTCAATACCTAGGGAGGATTTAGCACAAAGTTGAAATGGCCTGACACCCCATGTATATCGTACCAATCTAGATATAAAAGCAAGAATCCCAAGCCATGTTTAGAGCTAATATAAATCCTATAAATCCTTATAGTTCAATTCTTAGGCCAAACACTCCTAACATCCTTACTGTGGACAGCAGCTAAGTCTTTTGGGAACTTGGATCAGGCCTCCTGCAAATAATCAAACAAATAATCAGAAAAGAAAAAAGGAATCACATGCAATCCAGTGCATTTTTCTCCTTGTGTGGTTTCTCCATCAGCGAGACGTTTAAAGGGTCTAAACCTCTTAAAGTCTTTGATTCCTTTTTTAAATTTTCAATCCTCATCCGAGGATATGTTTCTTTGTTTTATAATTTTTAAAAAATATTTTTTCTTTATTGAGTTTTAGAGAGAAAGGAAGAGAGAGGGAGAGAGAAATAGGAACATCAATGAGAGAGAACATTGATTGGCTGCCCCCTGCATGCCCTCTACTGGAGACCGGGCCCACAACCTGGGCACGTGCCCTGACCCTGGATGGAATCTGCGACCTCTTGGTGCATGGGTCAACATTCAACAACTGAGCCACAACAGCTGGCTGTTTTTTAATTTTTACTGAGAGAGAGAGAGAGCGAGAGAAAGAGAGAAAGGCAACAGTGTGAGAAATATTAATTGGTTGCCTCCCCTATGCACCCCACCAGGGATGGAACCTACAAGGTAGGTATGTGCCATGACCAAGCATCCAACCGCAACATTTTTGGTGTATGGAATTACGCTCCAATCAACTAATCCACCTTGCCAGGCTGATTCTCTTTCTAAAGTCATTTTATTTTAAAAGAACCTTCCACTTTTCTTAGTTATACAGCCAGGTTGGGGCACCTGCTGGAAAATAAGTTTCCTTTTTCTAAAAAAAAACAAAAAATATGCTAGAATTTGCAGCCATTGAATTCAAAACAGATTTGCCATAGTGTAATTCCCCAGGCATTACTATTTGTGGCTGAAAGCTGACTGAAAGGGAGGATCCAGAGTTACTTTATTTCCCCCCAGATAAAATAGGATTAATAACCTGAAATCGTGGAGTCTCCTGGCCCCCGCGGTGCAATCCCTCTTGGGCTGTAGGTTGCAGCTCCTATGATTTCAGGCAAGACTGGCCCAGGCACTCTAGTCACTTGGTAGGCAGAAGGGAAGGTGGTACCTGAGCAAGGTATGAGCCACTCAGAGGCAGCGTGGGGCCGCCACTCACCTGGGGGAGGAGGATCTGGCGTCCAGACCCACCGGACCCAGAGGAAACTCGAGCCTTGGGCGGACCAGGTGAAGAAAGGAACGCCCTCCAGCTCACCTCCGGAGGCGGGCGCAGGGCCCGGTTACCAGCAGGGGCGGAGCCGGCGGCTCGGATCACCTGGGCCTAAGCGGAACTGTGGGGTCTGGTCGGTGCACCGAGCACCTGGAACTTAGACTCACCTGTGCAGGGGGCCAGAGGCGGGGCCTGGGCCAAAACTCACCTGCGCCCGGGGCATCGCCCAGCGCGGAGGGGAGACGACCAGCTGGCCCCATCTGAGCCACCCACCGGCGGCACGTCCGTGCCCGCGGGGTCGCCATGACCTGGAGCGCCACGGTCCGGGGCGCCCAGCAGCCCGACAACACCGCATTCAAGCAGCAGCGCCTCCCGGCCTGGCAGCCGCTGCTGTCGGCAGGCATCACGCTGCCGCTCTTCTTCTGCGCGGGCCTGGCCTTCATCGGCCTGGGCCTGGGCCTCTACTACTCCTCCTACGGCATCAAGGAGCTCGAGTACGACTACACGGGCAACCCCGGCACCGGCAACTGCTCGCGGTGCGGCGTGGCGGACCAGGACCGCGCGCCGCCGCCCAGCTGCTCGTGCGCCTGGTACTTCTCCCTGCCCGAGCTCTTTCAAGGCCCCGTGTACGTCTACTACGAGCTCACCAACTTTTTCCAGAACAACCGGCGATACGGCGTGTCCCGCGACGACGCGCAGCTGAGCGGGCTGCCCAGCGCCCTGCGCCACCCGGTCAATGAGTGCGCCCCCTACCAGCGCAGCTCGGCCGGCCTGCCCATCGCGCCCTGCGGTGCCATCGCCAACAGCCTCTTCAACGACACCTTCTCACTGTGGCACCAGCGCCGGCCTGGCGGGCCCTACGTCGAGGTGCCGCTCGATCGCACAGGCATCGCCTGGTGGACCGACTACCACGTCAAGTTCCACAACCCGCCGCTGGTGAACGGCAGCCTGGCGCTGGCCTTCCAGGGCACCGCGCGCCCGCCCAACTGGCCCCGGCCGGTCTACGAGCTCAGCCCCGACCCCAACAACACCGGCTTCATCAACCAGGACTTCGTGGTGTGGATGCGCACGGCGGCGCTGCCCACTTTCCGCAAGCTGTACGCGCGCATCCGCCAGGGCAACTACTCCGCGGGGCTGCCGCGCGGCGAGTACCGCGTCAACATCACCTACAACTACCCCGTGCGCGCCTTCGGCGGCCACAAGCTCATCATCTTCAGCAGCATCTCGTGGATGGGTGGCAAGAACCCCTTCCTGGGCATCGCCTACCTGGTCGTAGGGTCCCTCTGCATCCTCGCGGGCTTTGTCATGCTGGTCGTCTACATTCGCTACCAGGACCAGAATGACAAGGATGAGGACCAGGAGTGATTCCTGCTTTCAGAGCATCCATCCTGCTTCTTGCCAAAACTCTTGCAAGCTTCTTTTGACTTCTCCCCCTCGCCCCTCACCCAATTCCAACCTAGCCTCACTTTTCCTCTTATTGTGGGCGAGGGAACCAGAGAGAGTCATTACACCCCTTTGGGGGCTACCAGACTCTTGCCAGGATGTTTGGACTGCAGAGTGACAACCTTGCAAAATCTCTCCATCTCCTTCACGATTTACCAAGTTGACACGTTATAAGGTCCCTAGTATTTGAAAGTCCTTTTCATCTGTTTAATGACGAGACAGACCTAGAGATGTTAAATAACTCATTCAAGATCAAGCAGCTACTACTCCTTGGCTCCTGACTCCGATTCTGGAGCATTTACCACTACTACAGTGGTTTTCTTTCTTTTCTTTTTTGGTGTGTGTGTGTGTGTGTGTGTGTGTGTGTGTGTGTGTGTGTGTGTGTGTTGGAGGTGGTGGTGGCTGGTAGATAGTGAAGCCCACAAATAACCTGCTGAGGTATGGAGGGGTGGGGGAGACCATACTTTAAAAATGTAGATAGATTAGGAAGCCCCATCCCCAGAGATTCTGATACAATAAGGTGGGGGTGAGACCCTTAAAGCTGCATTTTAACAAGCTCATCTGGAGATTCCTTCTGTGTCCCCTCAAATTGGGGGATCACTGTCCTGAGCCAGGAAACAAGTAGAATGCTGGTTGTTTCCCTGTTTCCTCATGTGTCTGAGGCTGGGCCTGAAGCAATCACCTGGGTCGTTTTTCAGGTAGTCATGTATTCTCAGGGTCAGTGGCGATCAGTGTTGCAAGTTTGGTCCAGCAGTCTGCCTTGAACATAGAAGGGAATGTTTTAACCTTAGTACCAGATAGCTGGAAGAAATCTTAGAGGGAAGGTGATTTTTCTGTCTTATCTGTGTCTCCTGAGTCCTGAGTCCTCTTTGTCATCTACATTGGTTTTTTGTTTTGTTAATCCTCACCCAAGGATATTTTTCCATTGATTTTTAAATAGAGTGGAAGGGAAGGAGGGAGAGAGAGATAGAAAAACAAAGATGTGAGAGAGACACATCCATTGGTTGCCTCCCGTACAACCCCATCTAGGGCCAGGATCTAACCTGCAGCCCATGTACATGCCCTTGACCTGGAATCAAACCCGAGACCCCCTTCGGTCCACATCCCAACAATCTAACTGCTGAGCCAACGTGGCCAGAGTATAATTGTTTTTATGCTTAGGTCGAAAAAAAATAATTTTTTAATCTATAATCTCTAATGAAGCTTTTTTCTAGTAATATGTTTAAATTGATGCTAATGAATATAGTCTTATATATAAAGTAGAATCTTAAAAATTATTTGAACATTTGAATAATGTTAAACTCTGACTAATCTAAAATTATCCTAATATATGCAGAGTTATTCTAAGAAGCAATAGAATTTTTTAAAAAAACTTTTAATGGCTAAGGAACTTTAAATAAAAACACCTTAGCCGGCCAGTGTGGCTCAGTGGTTGAGTGTCGACCCATGCACTCATGGTTGCCGGTTCGATTCTCGGTGAGGGCCCGATCCCCAGTGAGGGGCATGCAGGAGGCAGCCAGTCGATGTTCTCTCGTCGATGTTTCCATCTCCCTCTCTCTCTCTAAAATCAATAAAGAAAAACTATTTTAAAAAGAAAAAACACCTTAGTGATATAATTTTAACTAGTTTATATGCTGAAAGCAAACAGTTATATGGTACTCTGTCTTCAGGACCTGCTCTCTATTACAGCTACTTTCCAATTACTACTGTGTTCGCTCAGGCCTGTAAGGCAGCAAGACCTTGAAGTATTTTTCTTTTAGTAATCAAAGAGAAATACTTAATTGTATTGAGTATTTTACATTAATTTTATTTTATTCTACTCTGGTTCTTTAAAAATTAATAATTGATGGACAGCATGCATGTTCCTGACATCTGATCAGATCTTCGGGAATGTGATTTAAGAGATTTATTCCACTATTTGCATAAACTAAAAAATATTTTAGCAGCTTCATTGTGTTGGCTTCCCAACTCCTGAAGGTGACACAGTTTTATTGTCAGATTTTAAGCTATGAAAATATGATCATTATATAGAGTAATTTTTATTTATTATGAATGTTTGATCCAGCAGATCACTAACCCAGCCCTTCTTTATGTTGGATAAGAGAATTCACTACATTTTTTACTGTGCAATTGAGATCAATTGCATAGTATTTGCTATATCATTTGTACAATATTCAATCTATTGCCATAAAATTTTAAGTGAGACTACAAGATTTAAGGTATCTGATTAAATCAATGACTAAGTTCCAGGCCCTATTCTCTGGGTTTTTGGAAGAGAATAAAGGTTATGTTTGATTTACCTTTGTTATCATGTTTGCTTAATGCTTTTGAACTATGGTCTTAAAGGCACAAACAGTACCAACCTCTTTGTTCATTTGTTATTAGCAGATTTATATTGCAGCAAGAAAATCATCTTTCAGAATATGGCTCAATGTGAACTCAATCTTTCAGTGCTAACTTCCTGAAACAATTTGAATTTATGTCAACATTAACATGTAGTATGAATGAGATGATCTTCAACTATTGTTTGAATTTGGTAAAATGTGGTCAATTTAAAATATATATAGTATTAAAAGTAACTAATGAATGTGATTATAGCAGTCTTCTTCATTTCTGCATTTTATTCAAATTCTGAATTGCAATTATTTGTCAGGTATTTTGTACTACAAAATCTTAAAAACAAAAATGTGAAACATTTTCCTGTACTGTAATATGTTGTGTGATATTTCAGGATTCTATCTGGGTTTGAATCACTCTTTTGTCCAGTAAATACGTCCCAGCTTAATCTGTCTTCTGGGATGAAAAAGAAAAGAGTGAACCTCAACAATTGGACTGGAGCTGTGCTTTGATCTATTTTGATAAAATAAAACATACACAGAAGAGAAACTAATGTGGTCAGTGAGAACTCCCAAAACAAAAAATAATATAACAAAGATTGTATCTATAGAATCAAATCAATCAAAGAATTTGCTGACTATGCAATTGTTAAAAATCAAAGACAGAATAATAGTCTGGGATTTCCTTTAGTAACATATTTCTTCACAATATATAACCACAGCCATTTCTGCTTCACTTTAAATCTGTTGCTCTCTTTCTGTCATTGGCAATATCAACAATCTTAAATTCTCAAAGCGTTATTAGTAGAGCTATAATGTAATCAATTCCTTATATGTCCTTGGATATAAGTCATCAGTTACTGTATTAACAGTAAATTCCCTCTTTATTTTATCGAGCATTCCTTTGAATCCCACATTTTATTCCTGTAGCTAAAACATAGCTGATTTTTAAAAATATGTTTTTATTGATTTTTAGAGAGAGCAGAAGGGAGGGAGAGAGAAACATCAATGTGAAAGAGAAACCTCCATCACTTGCTTCCCAGATGCACCCCAACCAGGGATGGAACCTGCGTATGTGCCCTGACCAGGAGTCTAACCAGTGACCTTTGGGACAATGCTCATCCAACTGAGCCACACCAGTCAGGGCTTAGCAGACTGATTTTAGATATAAAATTTTTTTAAAAACATTTTTAACTTCAGTTTTTCCCCCCAGGAGAATCTTTCTTCATTTCCCTACAACAAAAAAACAGGGTCATTTAAAAGTGTCATTGAGAAGGCCCTAGTGAATCTGACAAATACATTAAGGTCCTAAAGCAATCTTACACGAGAGCAGCACCTTGGGTAAAGAATTTGCAGAAATGTTAGCAGCGTTGACTCTATAACACAGCCATCTCCCATAACTGCCCTAATGAGACTGTCAATGTGTATTCAGGAAAACACACTTCTCCACTGTTTTGGTATCTGTCATGAGTCCCACCATTAGTGTCATTGCGATCATTGTGTAAATTAGGTCAGTGTAGAAAGCCAGTATGGGGTTCAGAATGAATCACCCCAAGATACGCCTCTGTGGTATGCAGATAGTTTTGAGCTAAAGAAAACTTTAGCCTTGGGCTCATGGGAAACTTCTGCCCCTCCCTTAACTACCAAGAACAACTTGAACTGGGAGCCTTGCCCATAGCAAGAGATTACCAGAGGGAAAGGAGGTTGGGGGGAGATAAAACAGGGCAAAGGGAAGCTCGCCCGGTGTGGCTCACTGGTTGAGCATTGACCCATGCATCAAAAGGTCACTGGTTCGATTCCCGGTCAGGGCACATGCCCAGGTTGTGGGTCTGATCCTCAGTGGGGGGCATGCAGGAGGCGGCCAGTGAGTGTTCTCGCTCATCAATGTTTCTATCTCTCTCTCCCTCTCTCTCCCTCTAATATCAGTGAAGAAAAAAAAAACAGGGTAAAAGGGAGATAAATGGTGACAGAGGAGACTTGACTTTGGGTAGTGAACATGTATGCAATATACAGATGATGTAGAACTGCACGCTTGAAACATATCCTTTTATTAACCAATGTCACCCCATACATTCAATAGAATTAACAAAAAAATAAATAAATAAGAGATTATCATAGATAATCTCTTTTGACCTATCTATAGGGCAGGGCAAACTTCTATTTACTAAGCATGTTCTCATGATTCTGCAGTGACTCTCTGAAGCCCCCCGGGCACCTGACCTCGTCCCCGGCTCCGGATGCCCTCGACATCCCTGTTCTCCATCTCCGAACTTCCCGCGCACGTGGGGCCTGTGACTCTCTCCGGTATGCAGGGCTCCTCTACAAATGTGTGTGTCAAATTTGGTCCTTTTCTCGTGATAATCTGCCACATGTCTTTTTGGTTTTTAGACCAGCCAAACGAACCTTGAGGGTAGAGGAATTTTGTTCCTCCCATACACTAGAATTTCTTTATTTCACGTGTGTGGCTGAGCAGGCCACCAAAGGACAGAAGAGTCCTGTGGCGATGGATCCCAACACGGACTGTTTGGGGATGCAGATGGGAAAGGGAAGATTAGAGGACAAGATGAGGTTGGGAGCACAGGCATTTTTCTGGGCAGCAAGGTGCCTGAAGGCAGGAGGGGTTGGCAGCGAAGGCAGCCCATGGCAGAGGGCAGGGCTCACAGCAGACTCATTGATGACAAGGCCTTTGAGAAATTCAGCAAGCCAATAGTGGCTCACCTCCTTCTGAACCCCTCAGCTTGTCTGTTTGATCAATTGGAGTGTGATTTATCTTTTTCCTTAGAAGCAAAGGTATTGCTGTCAAGAACCTTCACTAATAGCCTTGCCCTCCACATTGAGCATTAAAGTCCCCATTAAAGTGGCTGAAACCTTACATTGCTGATGAAAACTGTAAATGATATGTCATTAATAATGATACTTTGTTCCTCTAAAAGGCCTT